CCCATGTAGTCCATGGGAGGGTACGGTCTGGGACAGGATGGACAACTTATGAAGCAATTCTATCATGAGAAAACCTACAAGTTATCTTGTGGAACACCTCATCTATGCAGTGTGTGTTGCGTGGCCATTGAAGTATAATATGCAAGTCGACATGGCCTGACAGTGCGGATTTGAACTGTTAACATATACCTGGTCAGGCATCATTCACAACAGATCGGGATCCAAACAATGTACATGTCTACATGATGTAAACCATCTCCCTCAAAAGTGAAATTGACTGGAACCACCCCAAGTGCATTAACATCCTCATAATAAGAAACATTGAGGGATAGCGGAAGGCAAAGAACCATAACAATCCACAATTACCTTTACTGTGCATGACACAAGGTTTTAGTGTCTTACATTAAAAATTTATTAAACCACTTTTTATTTATGTTATACCAATTACAATAGCATAAAATCTTAGCTAATAATCCATATTTTAATAGTATATAAGTTTTAAATTATTAATTTTACAAGGCAATATAAAAAAAATCCCGAATTTTCACTAGTGTGACCCACATTTTGTCTTAGCATGTGTGTCATCATCCTTATTTTATCCACCACCCCTTGAAAAAGTAGGAAATTAAGCATAAATAACTCTCTATAAAATCGTTATTGTTCAGACAAACCCAAATTTTTATAGTCTTCAATTTTGTTTGGTTACAGAACTATTGAATATAAAATAAGACCCCTCCTGTCACACCCACCTGTAACATCCTCTCTTTCACAATTCGTTGTTAGTTCTCTTTTACATTTCATTATATGTTACTTATAACCAACAGAAAGTCAAGGTTTTCTTGATGTATTGTATAATGTTGTATTCTGAACAAAATATCGTCAATTTTACTCACAGTACAAGATTCGTTACCGTGGGGAAGTTAATGACTAACTTGGATGAATTTATAACGGCTCTTGTCGCATAGTTAGAAAGCCTGAAAAATTTTGAGAGGTAAGTGAATTT